GCCGCTGCCAGAGAATCTGGAGGGAAACCATCGCCACCCTCAACCAATCATCTGAGTCCATCAAACGCTTCGCCGACTCCAGGAGACGCCCCGCCCCCGAGTACACTGAGGGCCAGGAGGTATGGCTGTCTACTCGAGACATTCCCCTCAAGGGGATGTCTCAAAAGCTCTCTCCTAGGTTTATTGGCCCCTACAAGATCACCCGAGTCATCAATCCCTCAGCCGTCCGTCTCCAACTACCTCAGTCCCTCCGAATCCACCCTACCTTCCACGTGTCCCAGATCAAGCCTGTCTCCTCGAGCCCTCTGTGCCCACCGTCCGACTCCCCGCCACCCGCCCTGGAGGTCGATGGTCATCCGGCCTTCACTGTTCGTCGCATCGTGGACTCCCGTCGACGAGGTCGCGGATGGCAGTACCTCGTCGACTGGGAGGGCTACGGACCGGAGGATCGCCAGTGGGTTCCGGGCTCGTACATCCTCGATCCTGCCCTTATCGAGGAGTACGAGCGTTCCTGCCCTTCGACCTCTTCCGGACCGCCAAGGGGCGGTCGTTGAGGGGGGGGTACTGTTGGGAGCTGGAGAAGTTCCACCTTTCTCCAGCAGAGTCCGCCGTGGATCCTCTGAGGGAGCCTCCTGCACAGCTGCAGTTCATCAAGATCATCAGAGGATCCACTACTTAAGCTGTCTTCAGACCTTGCCTCAACGCCGCAGTGTTGTTCCAGTTGGTCAGCGCTTAAGCCTAGATCCTCAGTGAAACTTTATGACTTTGAATCCAGCCTGGATTCTAACCATTGTCTCTGTCTTCCAGGAAACCAGTGTCTCCTCTGTGAAGCTCAGGAAGAGCTAACCTGCCGAGCCGACCCTCTGAGCCAAACCTGAAGAATCCTAGAGAACCTCCAAGCAGCTCAGGGCTAAGAGCTGGAAAATCTAAAGCCAAGGTCTGTGCATTACTAGAAGTGAGACGCTGAAGCAGCTAGCGGACTCTGCTGATGAACCCCTCTTCAGATCCAACAGAGACTCTCCCAAAGCTAAACCTCAAGAACCCTCAAGGTACAATCAGTAAGCTTCAGGAAATCAAACCTCTGTTGGCAACGCTAACTGAACTGTCTCTCACGCAGACTCCGGTGAACCAGTATCCAGGCCCCGAACCCGAACCAGTACATTCTGTGTGCTTGAGCAAAATAAACTTGTTAAACTTTCATCCCTGTGTCCGTCAGTGGTGTTCTGCATACTTGGGTCGCTTTTAGTGAACCCATCATGACATTTCTTTTTTGTTTCAAAGCTTACAAATTAAGATTTTGTACTGAACCAACTCCTGGAAGTTTTTAATTCAGTTTTCATTTAGTATTCATATGGAACCAATTCATGACAAAGGTTTTTGGACTGGGTCACCGGGGTGACGGGTCCATTAGGTAACCCGGGTCGTCCATTTTACCATCAACATCCCCTAGCTCATTCTGGGGGATCCCAGGCCATATGAGATATCTAGTCCCTTTAGTTAGTTCTGAGTCTCCCCAGAGCAAACTAAAGGGAGAGAACTAACCTGTGGGATAAAAATGGAAATGCTCCAAAATGAGCCACGCAGAGAACCTCTTGATCGGTTGCCTGAACCACCTCCAACCACTTGTTCAATTCCAAGAAGCAGCGACTATTCTTTGCTCTGTTATTTAGATATTTACTTTATAAAAACCCTGCTTTCTATTTACATTAAGTTTCCTTCCAATATAAGTTTATAAAGTCAAGCATTGATGCCTTGGGAAGTTGCAGCAGTTGCAGCAGTTCCAGAGCCTGTTTAATTAAATATTATCTAACCAGAACAGGAACTTATAATAGTTCTGATGGAGTGTGCTGCCGAGTTCGGCCTGCTGCAGAGTGTGAGTCAGTATCCTTGACTGTGAGGTACAGCGCTGGGGCCCCCTGAGGCCCAACAATGACTTTGGTGGGTTCTTGTGTTGCAGGGGTTGATTTGCTGAGTCAGCACCCTGCTGCAGATCCCTGCATCTTAACACACTTGACACCAAACACACTGAATGGCAGTTTTCCTTTATAAAGGTGCCTTTTTATTTGTTAGTTAGAAAAAAGTCGTGGGTGTTTTAACCATGTCTGATTTTAGAATAAATTATTATGAAGCACAAACAATGTATGAAATATTAGTTTTACTTTTTTGTGGACCGATAGGTTTGGTTTGGCTATGAATGACTAATAATAAGTGCCAAAGGCAGTTGTTAATGAGGTTAGTCATTTTGTGAAAATGTTATTTTCACAATGTACTTTTGCATCTCCTTTTCCTCCTGTTGTGCTGCTGCTGTCTGAGTCTTTTATTTGATTCAATATGTGTGAGTCTAATCTCATAGCACTGCATAAGCTGCTAAGAGGGCTAATAGCATGGATTAATGTTTGTCCAGGGGCTCTGCACCCCCAGGACCATCTACCAGTAGTCAATTTGATTTTTATAAACATTTTCTATGTCTGTTTCTATGTTTTTGAACACCGATCAGCTTTGGCAGAGGGCCTCTGACATACTCTGCTCCTGTAAAAAGGGAGTTTTTTTTACTGAATTGAATTGAATTGAACTGAACTGATCGGATCAGTACCAAACAAATATTAGCATTAAATTAAATGAAAGCCAAAAGCTTTACTCACTCACTTAGTCCCTCACAATCAAAACACATAGTTGTAATGAAACATACTAAACCAAAATGAGCCAAAACTGAACCAGGAATGGTGAATGCTTTAAAGTAAAATATCCCATATACAGTAGAAGTAAACAGATCATTTTTATAATTTCTTTCTTTTAATTCTGATGGGAACAGCGCTCTCAGGCCCCCCTACTGACCAGCCTAACATAATTTATGCAGATTAGTGAGAGGAAATAAAAGGAGAACATGGATAAAACTTGCTTCATAAAACTGAGTTTCACCTATCATTAGCAAATTTTTATCCACCCAGATACCAGACAAATGCCTCTACAATTGATGTAGGCCTGTACCAGTATACCTTCTGAAGCAATAGGAAAATTCAACTGCAGTAGTAAGACATCTCTGAGACAAAATTCCCATGAAATGTAAAATTTACATCAACATCCAGTTCATTCAAATTTAACGCAAAAAAAAAAAAAAAGTTGATTTTGGGGTGAGTTACACTTTAACAAAAGAAATAGGAAGGATCAGTATCATTTGCCTCTGGGTCCTCAGCAAATTAAGAACCACAAACAGAGCAAAACCCTCTAAAATAAATTACATCTAAATAGTTTTTTTAGACTATTTTTCTCTGCCCAGACACAGACATTAAGGTGAACTGCCAGGGCCAGTGGATTGTGTGACGGGTCTAATATGTAGAGAAGATGTAGCAGTTTGGACAAACGGCTGTTGGAATCGTGGTTAATCCCGTCTGTTTCAGGCGGTGGGGAAAACCACTTCCACAACATTTTTAGGGACAGTGTCTCTAATTGGTTATCTCTAGTTCTTTAAGAACCTGTCTATTGTAAGTTCAGGAGGCAAGCCTTATTTGTGTGGGGGATACAGTCACTCAGACTATAGACAGCAGATTGTGCTTTAATTATGATTAGTTATTATTTTCAGAAGCATTCATTTAAACAATTTGTACACATATTTCAATTGTGCTTATCATAGTGAAAGAAAGATAATTACAGCTGGAATTCATATGTTCATTTGGGAGCATAAAGATAGTTATTTTAGTCCTGGGTGCTGCATGACTCAAGGTGGTAATAGTGGGAGCGTCTGCTCTCTGTAGTGACTGATAGGCTTTGGAGCTGCTTGATAGATGATCAGAGCGTTTGCTGCAAACATGCATTCTTTTTTTCTTTGCAAGGTTTAGTTCAGTTTAATCCCTGTTTATTTTGTGTAATATAATCAAAAACCCTGTTATTCAATCTTTTTTCACTTGTTTTTATTAATATGGGAATTACCCCATCTGCTTACCTTTTCATCATCTATATAGTTTTTTTTTATTCATATGCAAAAACAAGCTTTGCTCTGGGTCTGCTTTGAAGGATATTAGCCCTGCTGCCTGGGAGCAGCCTGGGGGGAAGGAGGCAGACGGCTTTCCCCCTCCAAGGTTCCTGAGGGAGGCCAGCATTTTTTCTTCTATCATCTGTCTTGACTGGCAAAATAAAGTGGAGGAGATGAGTTAGAATATGAGGAAAAGGGGAGTAAGATTGAAGTTTGTGGTTTTCAGAGCAAGGCAGGTGAAAGAAAATGAAAGAGCAACAAGATGATTCAACTCCAAATCATCAGGAACCTGCTAATTAGATTTGCTGAGTGATTTCAGCTGGATTTCTTTGCAGTTTATCTCTCTTTATGAAGTTGACTGATCATTTTGTTCCAGCAAAAATCAATGAAGATAATCATTCTCTGTATTTTTCTGACTAATTGCACACATTGCAAAATAAACAACATGCAATCATCTAGCAGAATAAACTTAAAGTAGATTTTCTTCACTAAAACCAAATCTGTAAAGTTGAAACTGAGATTAAAAACTTTGGGCTATGCCTGTTCAATAAGAACATCTGTGTTCTATGCAACCAACCTAAGAAAGCTGTTATCATCCAGCTGCTCTTTCCTCTTCCTCACATCCCGTCGTTGCTTTTTCTCTATCCCCTTGTGTCTTTATCTCTCCTTCATCTCTTCCTCCTCTTCTTCCTTTCTGTCTCTCCATTAGGAAGCACTCTGGGCACATGGCTGGCTTTAAATTGAGATATAAAGTGATTAGATGGTGGATGCATTTCTGATTGTGATGTGTTTTGTTTTGCCTTTTTTTTTCTCTCCGGTGGTCCATCATGCTTTTTTGCAGTTTTGGTATAAACTAATTAAAAAAGACTGAAACAAAACTGAAATCTGAAAACCACAGGATGCATAAAAATGGAAACCCTTCCAAGCATAATTTAATTTATCTGGATTTTACTCTAAGAAGATGAGAGAAATCCTTAAAATGTATTGAGTAAGGGAGCGACTAACAGCTGTGTGCCATGTCTGTGTGCAGGAGACCTGAATGCTCTGAAGGAGACCGCCTTCACCTTACAGGAAGGAGCCAAATACAGGCTGAAGGTTTACTTTAAGGTATGATATGATTCATGATTCATGATTTGGTGTCAAGTTTAAGAGGAAAAAAAGCCTTATTTTTTAGATGAGATGCGTTTAAGACATGAGAATATGAAGTGGGTTTTTTTGTTGATGCTAAAAGATTTGATCAACATAGTTAAACTCAAGTAACAGCAGGATTTTTTTTCATATTCAATTTCATATTCAATTTTTCAAGTTATCTGTACAGATCAAAGTCTTTAATAAGACCTGGTCTAGACTCCAATAGTCCCTGCTTAAAATTCGACATTTGTTTTTGAAATTATTTGTCTTCAACCAGGAGAGTCTCCCCCTAGTGGGTCTTGAAGGTTCTCCAGGGGGGTTAATTGATTATTTTTAAAAGATTTTTTATAAATTTCTTTACAAATGTATCAAAAATTCTCATGAAGATCTAATAGCAGAGGAATCATTCTTTATTTTCTTTTAAATTTAGGGGACGTTTGTTCTAAAATGCTCTGAGCTAAGCAGGTGAAATCTAAATGCACCTCAACCACATATCTGAAGTTAAACCCTGGGTTTAATGGCAAGGGGTTCTTCAATTGTTGGATCCCTGGTCAAAAATGTATTTTATTCACTTTTGACTATATGTTTTGTAATTTTATTACTTAAGTTTAGAGTAGCTTTAGAGACACTATTTTTTTTTTCCATATAAACACCTATTTCCTCTTTTTGCAACATCAGGGGACAGAAAAACAACTTTCACAATACATCCCTGAAAAATCTATTTCTTTCTTCTCCAATATGTGTTACTATTTTGTTTTTTGGTACAATGATAGCTGTTTGACGGTCTTAACATATAAAGGCAAGTTAAAATGGGCAAGTTAACAGTTTTAGGGTGAGTGGTTGCCTTGCGGTTAGGGCATGCGCTTGGATCCCAGAGGTTCTGATGTTCAAGCCTCACTACCACTCTGGGTCGCTAAGCAAAACCCTTAACCCCACACTGCTCCCTTGGCGCCACACAATGGCCGCCCACTGCTCCCCAAGGGATGGGTTGAGTGCAGAGAAGGAATTTCGTTGCTTTGTACTTCTGACATTGTAATGACAATAAAGTTTTATTCTGTTCTTCTATTCTAAAAACCTCACAGGTCATTTGTGTCACATAATTTTTGGAGTTTTATCCATTAATTTAATTTTTCAATTTGTCACAGTTAACTGTTAACACGTTAAACAATTTTTTTAAATCAATTTAACCTGACATTATGATGACCTTTTAAGGCTGTTATAAGTAAATATCACTTTAACATGGAGGTTTCAAGGACCATCCCAAAGCCCCCAAAGCTGGACCCTTGATTGCCCTGACATACATTTACATTTCCCTTCATAGATATTTTATTTTTTTGCAGTTCTGGCTTTAATGTTTGCTGTATAAATATATTTAAATAGCAGCACTATTGGGAAAATAAAATGATAATATTAATTAATTAAGAGGAGCTGTGCTGTGGGGACCCCTCCTGGACAAACTGGTTTACAGTCTTTGTCAAATCGGATTTCCTGAATTGCACAAAACCTTCCTCAGTCTCAGAGAAAATGGATTTAGAAAAGAGTTAAAGAAGTGAGAATGATGTATATGCATGTCTGTGTTTTCTTCAGGTGAACAGAGATATTGTGTCTGGCTTGAAGTATCGACAAGTGACCTACAAGAAAGGAGTAAGAAGTAGGTTAAAGTTTTTTTTCTTTATGTTTTAGATGTTAGTAAGCATCTCTTTTTGCCTTGAAGCCTAATTTATATTTTGTGTTTGCCCCACAGAGAACACTGCAGTCTGCATGATGGGAAGCTACGGCCCACGAGCAGAGGAACAGGAGTTCCTGAGTCCAGCTGATGAGGCACCTAAAGGGATGATGTCCCGAGGCCAGTATGTGGTCAAATCCTGCTTCACTGATGATGACAAGAACGTCTACCTATCTTGGGAATGGATCCTCAGCATCACAAAGGATGGAATTTAACAGGGAGTGGCGGGAAACTGATGGCAAACATTGCTTTTTATCCATCATATTTTACCCATGTCAACATTTTCCTCTCTAATTGCATTCGCCAAAAAATAAAACTCTGTTCGCGGTTCTGTTTTTACATAATTCTCCATGTGTTCTCCATCAATCCTAACTAATTTTTTTCTTTTACCAGATTTTTGCTCCTATTTGCCTTATATTATCATCATATGGAGTCAGTTTGGTCAGTGTTGAGCACATGGCAGGATGATATTTACCATGAAAATATGTAAAACAATGTGGCTGCCTCCAAGATCAGCTCGGTTTTTGTGCTTGACAGTCAAGAGGGTGAAAAAAAAGAGAGAAAATAACACACTCTGTAAAAGAGAATAAGTGATTGAAATAAACCCTCTTAAACACTAAGGAAAAACTCTGGAAGATAAGACTGTCATCTAAACCTAGGTTCATATGCTGGGACACAGCTCACGGAGGCAGAATGGTGTTATTTTTAGTAAAATGTAAAATATGCTGTACTCTAAACACATACAGGTGCTGGTCATAAAATTAGAATATCATGAAAAAGTAGATTGATTTCAGTAATTCCATTTAAAAAGTGAAACTTGTATATTATATTCATACATTACATACAAACTCATATATTTCAGATGTTTATTTTGTTTAATTTTGATGATTACAAATGACAACAAATGAAAATCTCAAATTCATCATATCAGAAAATTAGAATATTACTGAAGACCAATAAAAACAAAGGATTTATAGAAATGTTGGCCAACTGAAAAGTATGAACATGAAAAGTATGAGCATGTACAGCACTCAGTATTTAGTTGGGCCTCCTTTGGCCTGTATTACTGCAGCAATGCGGCGTGGCATGGAGTCGATCAGTCTGTGGCACTGCTCAGGTGTTATGATAGCCCAGGTTGCTCTAATAGTGGCTTTTAGCTCTTCTGAATTGTTGGGTCTGGTGTATTGCATCTTCTTCTTCACAATACCCCATAGATTTTCTATGGGGTTAAGGTCAGGAGAGTTTGCTGGCCAATTAAGAACAGGGATACCATGGTCCTTCAACCAGGTACTGGTAGCTTTGGCACTGTGTGCAGGTGCCAAGTCCTGTTGGAAAATGAAATCTGCATCTCCAAAAAGTTGGTCAGCTGCAGGAAGCATGAAGTGCTCTAAAACTTCCTGGTATGTGGCTGCGTTGACCCTGGACCTCAGAAAACACAATGGACCAACACCAGCAGATGACATGGCACCCCAAACCATCACTGACTGTGGAAACTTTACACTGGACTTCAAGCAACGTGGATGAAGTGCCTCTCTTCTTTTCCTCCAGACTCTGGGACCTTGATTTCCAAAGGAAATGCAAAATTTACTTTCATCAGAGAACATGACTTTGGACCACTCACCAGCAGTCCAGTCCTGTTTCTCTTTAGCCCAGGCAAGACGCTTCTGACGCTGTCTGTGGTTCAAGAGTGGCTTGACACAAGGAATGCGACAGCAGAAACCCATGTCTTTCATACGTCTGTGTGTGGTGGTTCTTGAAGCACTCACTCCAGCTGCAGTCCACTCTTTGTGAATCTCCCCCACATTTTTGAATGGGTTTTGTTTCACAATCCTCTCCAGGGTGCGGTTATCTCTCTTGCTTGTACACTTTTTTCGACCACATCTTTTCCTTCCCTTCGCCTCTCTATTAATGTGCTTGGACACTGAGCTCTGTGAACAGCCAGCCTCTTTAGCGATGACCTTTTGTGTCTTGCCCTCCTTGTGCAAGGTGTCGATGGTCGTCTTTTGGACAACTGTCAAGTCAGCAGTCTTCCCCATGATTGTGTAGCCTATAGAACTAGACTGAAAGACCATTTAAAGGCTTTTGCAGGTGGTTTGAGTTAATTAGCTGATTAGAGTGTGGCACCAGGGGCCATCAATTTTGAACCTTTTCACAATATTCTAATTTTCTGATATGATGAATTTGAGATTTTCATTTGTTGTCATTTCTAATCATCAAAATTAAACAAAATAAACATCTGAAATATATGAGTTTGTATGTAATGTATGAATATAATATACAAGTTTCACTTTTTAAATGGAATTACTGAAATCAATCTACTTTTTCATGATATTCTAATTTTATGACCAGCACCTGTAGTTACACATATTATTTGCTATTTACACCATTAATCCGGATGCCAAACTCTAATAAGTGTGCATAATGAAAGCAGGAAAAGAAATCCTCCTTACAGCTGTTGATCGCTTTGTGCATCATTGACCTATGTAACATTTAGATGCTTCAGCGAAGGAAAGTTCCAGCGATATTTTCTGTCACATGTCTTTTAACTACTGTACATAGTGTCTTTTCAGTAGAGTTTTAGCGGTGTATCAGGGGTTAGGGTCGGGAGAAAATAGTCTATTGTACTTATTTTATTTGAATTATGTAAAATAGGGACTTCCAGATATTTTCAGGAAGTTAAATAAGTAAACTCAATAGCACAGCTAAAAGAAAACTCTGCCCCACAGAGATATTCACACTGACAAATATTCACACTGACAACAAAACTGTAGCACCTGAAAGAACTTACTTAGTACTTTTTAATTAATAGAACATGATAGATTGCAATTCTCATTAAAATCAATTCCAAAACACCTTTTTAAACCCAAAGGACATTAAATGTTGATACAGGGATTTATTGACTGAATTGTTGTAGATGTGAATAGCTGGAGGCAGGAAGAATCTCCTGTGACGTTCAACAGTATGATGAAGAGGGTGCACAGGGTTATCCATTATGTTCCCCATTTTATACTTATTTTCTAAATAACGTGGAAATGAAAATCAAAAACCGGCGAGTGAAAAACAAATCGCAATATATTAATACATTTCTGTCCTGCTTAATCATGACTTCATGGAACTCAACTTTACATCATTTTCTAAGGTGATACAAGCAGGAAGCAGAGAATGGATATAATCAAATAACATAAAGCATGAGTCAGATGTAGTTTGGTCTGTAGCAAAAACAAGGATTTCAGGGTTTAATAATCTGACTTTCCTAAAACTTTCCTATTCTCTTTTCCTCCAAAATTACCTTTTTAAAGCACTTAATGTAAGACATGATATTTAGAAACCCCATCAGGCTTGAAATGTATAAACAAACATGTTTAGTGTAGCACTATTTTTGTAATATTGCACTAAATGAACTGAAGGGAAGCAGAATATAGCAGAAACTAAATGGCCCCAAAACTGGACTCTGAGGAACACCATAAGGTAGACCTGTCAAAGATTTGTAATTCAAATCCTATGAACCATGGTTTTCAAGAATGTAGCCTTTTTTCCACTAGATTTTTTTAAGGGAAGTATCAGAGCACAAGGGGACAAAAACAATAGTCTTTAACTTAAAAACACTCTATTATTTCTATCTCAAATATATGTTAGCTTGTATTCCCTAATAAAATCCTTGGCTTTATGGCTGTGATGTTACAAAATGTGGAGATGTTCAAAGATTATCGGTTGTTTTTCCATGCTTGTTCAATATTATAACATTGCGAAACCTTCCCGATGTTGTCCAACATCGTGTTTCAGATCAACGACACGTCAAACATCCCATATATTTTACCAGAGCATATGTTTTTCTGTGCCAATACAGTTTAATAGTCTTTCATCATCTTTTTTTTTATGACTTTCTTAAGCATCTGGGTTTTACATCATTTTTGTGTAATTTTTTAATATATATTATTAGCTGAAAATGCAGACCTCCTGTTAACAGGGCAAATGTGATTACATGTTGCAAATAGAAAACTTCCAAACTTAAGAAGTTATTACTAAATCCTAATTTCAAATAAATTGTAAAATAAACTTTTATGGTAGAAGGAGTCATTTGAATCGAATATGTCACAACTAGAACAGATAGCTCTAGTGAGGAGTCAACAGCCAGACTGCTGGGGAATGCAGAGTTGTTTTTTTTTCAAGGTTAAGGTTATCAAAAAATATGTTTTTAACCTTTTATGTTTAATCTGTCAGTAAACATTAAGAGATCCTTTAAAACAAGTGACCACTATTTTCATAACCTACCTATATGTTTGGTAGCAAAATTATTATCAGCTGCGATTTGTTATGGTAGAGAGTATTTGGTAATAATCACACAGCAGGCAAACTCAACCCAAATCCAATCTTTTTACCTATATGCGGCTCATATCCTGCCTTTTCAAAGCAACTCAAAAGCTTCATTCCAATTGTTTTTTATTTCAGCCCTTTCTATAGGTGCTACTAAATTGGATTTATATCCAATAGTTTTCCCAGGTAACTGCAATCTGAATGTTCAGGCTGCATTTCATCCAGCTTCTACATTATTCGCCTTGCTTCTGCTGCACATCCAGGCATCTCTGCAGCAGCAGTAGTTTCCGGCTGCTTTGAAAACGGTTGTAAATAGCTCTACATTGTTCTTTTTTTTTTTACTTACCTTCCTTTTTTGTGAATGATGTGGTCTTGCTTTTTTGTTCCTAACAATTATTATTGTTATTGTTATTATTTTGATGCCGTCATTTCTTCCCATAAACAGTGTGCAGCTGTGTGATATCTACATTCTCCTTCTGCACATGCAGGTCACTGTGATGTCTTGAACACTTCACTACAGAATTCTGATCGCATCACATTTAATTAGCAGCATGAAAGGCAATGCCAAAAAAATGGTTTTCAGAAAAAAAGTGGAATTGAGCATCAAGCATTAGCTACCCTTTTATCCATCACACATGTAGCCTTTTGCTCTAAGAAGATTTAAAGGTCAAAACAGCATGCTGCTGCAGGTAAAATCATTTTGATAATGCATTACTGAGGCTCAATTAAACCTTTATGTGAAAACTAAAACAGTAAGACTTGCACAACGGCTGCTAAGCTCAGTGAAATGAAATGAGTTTTGTTCTTCGCTTGAAAGGAGCAGGCTGATGAAATTGAATCTATTGGAAGAATAATAAAATATATGATTTACATATTTTTTTAACAATAATAAATTAGCCACTCCAATGAGTTACAGGCAAGCAGAGTGCTTTTAAATCCATATACAGGTTGCCGGCATGAAAAGTTTCCACTTCGATATTTCTTAATTAGCCTAAACTTTAAGCCTGAACAGAACAGAGAGGGAAACTTGTAGAAATTATGATAAATGCCTTTTAACAGATATGTCTGTCTGGTCATTTTAAAGCAGGATAAGAAAATGATTTAATTTTAATTTATTTTATTTCTCTGGCCCTTTTTGAAAGAGCACACAAGTAAAAAAAAAAAAAAAAAAAAGTTCCTGAACTGTGTATAATGTAGAAAGAGATGCATGTAGGTCCTTTGATACTAGTCGCATAACGAAAAATACGAACCAAATCCTTTTCTATGGTAGATTTCTTGGGTGCAAGTTGTAAATAAAGTTTTGCTTTGTGGCTATGAGATCTTTGGAGATCAGAGATTTCCCCCTTTGAGATACATGGTTATCTCATGGAAAATGCAAAATACCACTACTGTGCTGTGTTTGAGTATGCTGTTGTCATTGTAG